CCCAACTTGTGCAGGTCGTACTTGAGGAGGACACTGGGTTTAATGTGGTAGTTGTTGAGCAGATTCTGATTCGGTATCCGCAAGGGCAAGTCCTTGGTGATGGTGCCCTGGACGTACCGCCGCTGCTGGACAATGTCCTCCAGGGGAATGGCCGCCTCGCCGATGCAGTGGTGCGGCGCAAAGGGATTCTCGTCGTAGCAGCTGATGAAGAGCGTCTCCGTCAGACTGCTCAGGTTTATCTTGAAGTTGGCGTTCCAGGCAATCTTGAAGGTGCCGTCCTTCGCATTCACCGCATTGCCATCCTTTTGATGGTCTTTTTTCCTCGACAGGGTGCCCCCTCCCTTGGAGGTGGTCATCTCCAGGCGGACAATCTTTGTCCGTCGGGTGGTGTGAATGGAGGCGGCGTCTTTGCCAATTGAAACCTTACAGTAGGCGTTCAGGGCGTCTGTTTGGAAGGGAGGAAAGATGTTAGTCACTGGAAAATCACACACACAAATGCTTGCGCCTTACAGTTTCTCGTGTACAGCTGCAACGCCTCGACAATGGTCAGAAAGAGCGTGGCAGTGGGCGCCTGGTTGGGCAGTAATGCTGCCACTGGACCAGCCGTCACCGAAGAACTGCCCGTTGTGCCATTGCTGGTGCTCCCTTCCTCATTACTGTTGAGTCGCTTCTGAATTTCCATGTAGGTGCTCTTTGCCTTGTCAATCTGCTTCATCCAAAGGACGCACTCGTTGGTGGAGGGGGCCCGCAGCGACAGGTGCCGCTTCTGTGCGTGCACGTGAATGCGAAAGAGGCCAGGGTCAAGGCTGGACTCAAATTCGGGCAGGTCGGCGAGGCTAATTTCGCTTAGGAGCATCGGCTTTCGATACAGCGTGTAGGTGATCTCCAGCGCCCTTTGGTTGTAGAAGAAGTTGTGCCCTGAAGAGATCGACTTTTGAAACTTCTTATTGGGCATCGCTAGCAAGAAGAAATCGTTAAAGAGGAAGGCGGCCAGCACCTTTGAGCTACTGGCCTTCACAAGAATGCCCGAGTGGTGCAGTGTTCGAGGACCTGGTGAATAAAGTGCAAAAATGGAAATTCAAAATGAAAACAAAACAAATAGAAACACCAAAACTACTCACCTAGAAAGTTCGTCTCCGAGTTAAAGTCAATGACATAGTCCAGATTCTTCTGCGGAATGGTGATGTGCTTCTGCAGCCAGATGAGCTTGTCAAAGTTTTCCGTATCTCTGCAGGCCTCATTGATCTCCTTGCAGAAGCTCTTGCTGAACTTAGCCGCCGCCTGCGCATCGGCGTAGTCCGGGTGGCCAGCCGGCGTCGCCTCAAAAAGCTTCTCATTGAGCAGCGGATACTTGGTGATTCGCTGCATTGGCTTTAGCAGATAAGAGGACAGCGGGAGGTGGGCCTTGCACTGACGGGAGATTTTTGCCAGCACTTCGCTGAACTGCACGTCCGACTCGATCTTCAGCTGCAGCTGTCGACTGGANGAGCTTCTCATTGAGCAGCGGATACTTGGTGATTCTCTGCATCGGCTTTAGCAGATAAGAGGACAGCGGGAGGTGGGCCTTGCACTGGCGGGAGATCTTTGCCAGCACCTCGCTGAACTGCACGTCCGACTCGATCTTCAGCTGCAGCTGTCGACTGGAGGCCATCTGCGCCGAGCAGTACCGCTTGTAGATGGGCAACATGCGCTGCAGTGAGCTGAGGAGAATATCACAAAAGCGAGGGTTGTTGCTGCCGCCGTTCACTCCTCCTCCCTCCTCGTCGTCGCCTTGAAGGCGTTCGTTGAGTTTTCTGGAAAAAATGAAGATTAGAAAAAGAACTACAAAAGCACTCCATCAAATAAACGCACGTGTAAAATTCATAGTTGACCTCGTAAATCTGCTCCAGATTGCTAAAGTACGACTGCACTTCTTTGGCGGCAAAGAGGCGACTGTCGAGTAGTGGATTGNGTAAAATTCATAGTTGACCTCGTAAATCTGCTCCAGATTGCTAAAGTACGACTGCACTTCTTTGGCGGCAAAGAGGCGACTGTCGAGTAGTGGATTGCGGAAGTTCTGCAAAATACAAAAAAGAACCAATGAAAAATTAAAGTTTTATTAATTTCACTGAAAACCTTCTCTCCCTCACCTCTAGTGTAAAGTAGATGTCCTTAATGTACACCTCCTCGGTGGTCAGCAGCTCGTAGATTATGTTCAGCCGGTGCTGAGTGGCTCGATTATCACTGGAGTTGAGCAGGCTCAGGTTCATCTGACTGGCGCTGAGCTGCTTACCAGCACCCCCGCCGCCGCCTCCCTTCTTATCGAGGTCCATGATGCGCACAGTGTACAGCTGCGGCGACTTGCGCGGATTTGACTGACCAGCAGAGTTGTTGCCAAAACGAGACACCTCCAGCGAGGGCGAGTGTGAGTGGTTGCTGCTGATGGCTGGGGATCGATCACCACCGCCGCCACTGACGACACCACCGTTCAGCGAGCCAGAGTGGCTGTCTCCCTCCACTTCATCCTCATCAAAGGAGTCATCAAAGGAATCATCCTCCTCCGAGTAGTACTGCACCTGCTGCTGTCTACTGTGGTCGCCGTTCTGTGTGTGCAGTTGTATAGAGGGAATGGAGGAGGAGGCGTTGTTGGCAGTGCTGCTGCTGTTGCTGGT